GGTACGGGAGAGGGCCTGCCACAAGGCGTGGTGTTACTGAGCAGTCGGTGAAGCACGGAGGGATTTCTCTGACGCGGGGCTGGTCAGGCCTGGCTTTAGCTGGTCTCGCTTCTTGGGGGGTTCCTGAGCAGGTGAGACTTGTTGGCATTGATGCATTGAGTTAGTTATAGAAAGTCTGTCAAATCATTGGCAGTTCTTGTGGAGCAAGCGTTGATGTGGCACTTTCCTAGTAATGAGCTTCTCCTGTAGATGCTTATTCCGTATGTGCTCAAAACCAACGTAATGTGGATTTGGGATATTCTTTTTTGTGTCATGGAGAAAGTCCAGAGCAGTTTTAGGGCTGGAGGTACTTCAGTGGTGTTGGGTGAGCTGAGGGATGACTGCTGTGGGTGCAGCCTGAAAAATTAGTATTCTGCAGCACTGTGAGTTGTTGGTTTTCAATAAAACAACTTTGCTAGATGTAGCTGTTACACCTTGTAACAGCTTCTGTTGCAGACTATAAGCAAATCGTGCAGTGGCCAGGCCATTTGAGATTCCAGCTTGTTAACACAAAGTCTTGCAATCTGTTAACTTGAACTTCCTGAACCTATTCATGTCCTCTGCTTTTACAAATTTGGGTTGTGCTAAATGTATTTCTTATGTCTCCTGCTCCTCCAACACTATGGTGCTCAGTCCTCTTCAGAAGCTAACCTGCCTCTCTCCTAGGTTGTCTGCTGTGGTGAAAAATAAGTCAGTGTAAGTGAAAAGAAAGTTAGTGTAGTCTAAATACTGCGTACTTGCACAGAGTACCAGTAGCACAGCGTACCAGTAGCTTGTGAGGGCTAACTGCTCTTTGTAGCTCCTGACCAGAGGTGATGTGTTGGGTTTTTTTCCTGAAATGCAGTTACCTACACCCAGTCCTGATCTTAAAATGGGCTCTCCCAGAGACTCTCTGCAGACAGTCTAGCACAGATGAGTGTCACAGATGAGCAAGGTAGATGTTGTCATTCTAATGACTGTAAATAGCTTTGTATTTTGGTATTTTTCTAACAGCTGCTAAATGAAAAGTATTTAAAAATGACCATAGCAAATCATACCAAAAGCTTCTGTAACCCAGTGCCCTCTTCTAGATAGGGGCCAAAAAGCAGGTAACTAGGTAAGAATAGGTTGGACATGCATTGTAGGGCTGTCTTACATCCTCTACCAGTTGTGGCTTAGGGCTTTCCTAAGCCAGATGCAATGTTTTTCCAATGCCCTCCCAAATTCTTTGATTTCTTTATCACAAGCTATCCTGTCTGCCCCTGGATGTGGAAGTCCAAGGGCTTTGGTAAATGTCCAAAACCCACAGCTTTAGCAGCAAAGAGTTCTGTTACATAGCTATGCACTTGTAATAAAAGAACCCTCAACAGTCTTGCTTGTTTTGAACCTGCCACTGTCTTCCCTATTTGGTACTCCTTCTTCCAGTGTTGAGAGAGAGTAAACGGTCAATCCCATTTCCTCTCAGTGTGCCTCTTGGGATTTTATATTTTGTCTACTAAGAGTCAGACCTATTCCTTTTTCACTATTCCTTGTTCAAGGGCCTTTCTGTACTGTTATTGTTGTTAGGTATCTGTATGTTTCTTGCAAATTAGTTTAATATTTGCTTGCACTAACCTGTGTTATATTTGGTCTGCTTTAGCTAGTGTTCTCAGTGTTCTACTTATGTAATTTATGGTTATTTGCTATTTACAGGTCCGAAAACTTACAGTTTTAGTTCAACAGATTCCAGTGCTTCTGCAAATCTAGATAAATCTGTTCTTAAGGTGAATATCTTTTTTATGTAACTCAGCTTTAGCTTTCATAGTACTCTTTTAGTTGAGTAAATATTTCTTTGTCTCTTCAGTATTATGTTATGGAGGTAAACTGTACTCATGTATTAGACATTAACTGGTTTAGGCTTTATAAGTTTGGGATTTTTCAGTGTGCTTTAAAAATAGGGCTAAATTAAGCAGGATAACGTCTATATTTTTTTTAAGTAATAGATGATACATTGCATGCAGGACTGTTAAGAGTTATGCTTGGGTTTCTGTTGTGCATGTGGATTCTTCTTCCTTTCAGAGGGAGAATACAGATTTTATACAATGACCTCAGTAGCAACCAAAGCTTGGTTCATGCTTTAGAAGTGTTAAAAATACTAAAATGATTATTTTACTAAAATTATTTTTTTAAGCCAGGTAGGAAGGAAAGTGGCATAGATTGTATCTTGATCAAAGTATTTTATACCTGTTCTTGTAAGCAGAGGAGAAAGGCCACCTTCTTTCTGGTAGATTTTTAATTATTATTTCTTTACAGTATTTCCCTTTGACATATTAAATTCCCTTGAAGATGTAAATGGGCCTTCTCTGCAATAAGGATTGAACACTTCTATTTCAAGTAAAAGCATATAGCTTTCAAAAGTAAAAACAAAAAAGTGTCCCTTTCATAAGAAGTGTTTACTGCACTTACGGAAAGCTGGAACATTGGAATTTGAATGGCAGAGAGATTTCTGCATTCTTATTTCTTTAGCCATGAAAAGCATTGGTATGTCGTAAAATTCCGTAACGTTTTGCTTTGTATCAACTAATTTTCTCTGTGCAGGTGATGATAAATGGTAATTTGGAGAAAAGGATTATTGATGTAATCAATGACCATAAAAAACAAAATGATGACAAAGGAATGATTTCCAGAAGACTTACTGCTAAGAAACTACAGGTAGAGTTTAAAGTGATGTTCTCCAAAAATTGTTTATTTAGAATGAACAGGGTTTTTTTTGTCATTCATGTCATGTATCATACTACGCTTCTGCAGGCAGTACAAGCCAGAGTAGTATGCTTTCCAGTAGTTACATTAATGATTAGTTAGTGGAATTAGCAAGTATGCATCTTTATGCATTCAGTAACTAAAATCGGAGTCTTCAGATAGGATAGAGGAATAGCACTTAATCTGAATGTTTCATGTTTCCTAAATTTTTTTGTTCCATATAGCTGGAAAATTGTGGATTTATCTTTCTAACTAGAAAATACATTTTATACAGAGGCTGGAATGTAGATTTATTTATAAATATTTACAATAAAAAGTATTGTAAGCTCTGTATGCAAAACATAATCTTTTTACTTGGGTTTCTAATATATTAAATGGAGGTAAACAGCATAAATTAATGCTAGTTATCCAATATGTGGGAAATAAGAGTTTACAGGCCAGTATTAGATTACTAGATTAAATCCTAATATTTTCTGACTTTGCTTTATTTGTAGGATGTGTACATGGCTTTACAAAGATTCTCTTTTAAGACTGAGCACATTGAAGAAGCAATGAAAAATACGCTTTTATATGGTGGTGATCTTCACTCTGCACTTGACTGGCTTTGTTTAAACCTTCCTGATGGTAAGTATGGTGGCAGAGAACTGACTACAGTTTTTAACAGACGAGTAATAGAACCTACTCTGGCATGGTGTTATGGTTTGAGAAACCTATAACAGTTTGTTGTCATTTAGACAATCATTCTATCACCTGATGACCCCTCCCCACCCGGGAAAGGGAATCGGGGGGGGACTGATCCTGATACCAATACAGAATATGCAAAGATAATACTCAGCCAATTCTATCAGTTGGAAGCTGTGCGCTCCCAGCAGTGGGCAGTAAATGTTGGACACTGTGAGCGATACGGCTTCAGGAGGAAGGGAAGGGCTCAGGGGTCTGGCACCGGGGCAAGAAGTTCTCAGGATGGCAGCCATCATAGAAGAGAGAGAACTTTGCATCGAAGTTTCTGATTTATAGTGAGTGTGACCTTCATGGTATGAAATAATCCTGTTGGCCAGCCTGGGTCAAGTGCTCAGGTCTTGCTTCTGCTCATCCCCAAACCTGGCAAGCTCGAAAACACAGACTTTAAAACCCACACAACATAGCTGGCTACAAAGTAAATATTTTCACAAATTCAGACACTAGAGTCTTCTAAAAGTGCATTTTTCCCAAGCATTAGAAGAGAAACTAGTCCTGTGTTGCTCAAACCAGGACACATGGGAATGCTTCATAGTAGTAATTAATTTAATGTTTCACTAAGACTGATAGTCATGACAGTGTTCATTTCCTAGATGTGCTCCTGACTGGTTGTGGGATATTTTTTTTTAGTGTTTGAAGTCTTTTAGACCTCTTGTTCCTACTTTTAGACTTTTATGAAAGTCCAACAAGCAAATGCTGACTTATCGAAATGCTAAAGACTAATTTTATTTCAGGCATGCTGGTTTTGTTTTATGTTCTTCTAGTTGGCTCCAAATACGTTGTAAAAGACTTTCAGTAGTCGTTATTGATGTTTTCTGTGACATGGGGTTTTTTATTTTGAAGATGCCTTGCCTGAAGGTTTTAGCCAGCAGTTTGAAGAACAGCAACAGAAACCTAGAGCAAAATTTTGTTCTCCGGTGTCACAACGTGAACCTCCACCTTGCATAGTAGATAACAAAAAGAAAGAAAATGGACCTGAATCTAAGGTAATCTGAGAAATTAATTTGTATTTACTGCGGGGAAAGAGAGGATGAAATTTTTGAAAATACAGAATTTGCATTGACTTCCAACACCGATGTGAAAAACTTCTGAAAATATGGTATGCTTAATAATTGTCACCCATATTATTTTAACTTCAATGGAGTAGTTATTTGAGGTAAGATTTTTTTGTGTGTGTGTGTGAAATCTAGAAGGCTCTTCATAGTTCATTTTTTTGGTAAAACATAGATTAATTTTCTCCTGGAATGGGTTCATTCTATTTGTTTACAGATGGCACTCTTTAGTTACTTGTGTGGGTTTAAGCTTGCCTGTGTTTTGATTCCTGTGGTTATTGATCCTTAAACCTAGAAATCAAAAGGATATCTTGCAAAAGTGGTGGATTTTTTTAGTTAAAGTTTTTTTCAGCAGTTATAATTATCCAAGTGTTAAGATCTATGTAAGTATATTGTGAAATGTTTGATCTGTACTGTTTTATTTATGTCATACAACTTTGTTTATATATGTAATCTTAAGCAATCGTTCCTAAATACTGACAGAGAAAAGTGTTGGTGTTTTCACTTACTGTTATCATTACTTTTAATTTTTATTGCTCTTCCTAGGGCAAGAACATGGAGAAAGAAGTGAGTATGAAGGAATGGATTTTGCGATATGCTGAGCAACAGAGTGAAGAAGAGAAGAATGAGTCTGTGAAAGAGACAGATGAAGAAAAGTTTGACCCGGTAAGATAGAATAACACTTCATGGAAGTCTTTCAAAAAGCTCGTATGTCTGGTACATCTGCAAGTGGTGGATCTATTTGTTAAAAATTGGGAATTTTTTTAGATTATCATTTTTACATTTGCAGGCTACTGAAGGGGAAATGTGTTGAAACGTCTCCTTTCCTAAGTTGTTTTTCCTTTCCTATTTTTTTGTACTGGGCTCAAAATACTGAATGCATGGTGCTGGAAAGGAATAATTCTTAAAACACACCTCAGTGAGATTAGGAAAGGGACTACCGAATTCTGAGAGGTTTTGACTGTTAGTTATATAAAAACTCATTGTTCCTCTTTGTGTAAGCTTGGTATAAAGGACAAACCCCCCCACTTTTTGGTTATGAAGTTCATTAAAAGTGACAAGCATACAATATTCAACTTGCAATTAATAATTCTGTTTCAAATAGAATGAGAGGTATGTACATCTGGCTGCCAAGCTTTCAGAAGCAAAAGAACAAGCAAGCATCTCCAAGCAAGACAAAGATAAGCCAAGTCAGAAGGTAGCACAGGAGAAAATAAGAAGAATTCAGCAAGGTAGAGCTATACAAATTACCTGTGGTTTGTTTTGTGGCCTGTGTATTTGTTAGACAAGTAAGTCTCTGAGTCAGCCTGAATTGATTTCATCAACTTTTACATCTTGCTGAAATTCTAAAAAGTCAGTAACATTTCACTACTACTGTTTTTGAGTGCTTAGTATAAATTAATATAATCAATCGTTTCTTTTTAGAAGAATAAATACTTGGCAATTAATGGGTGTAAGTTGTATTCTCTCTGACAGAAATGGCAGTACTTGAAGAACATCCAGTATTTAATCCAGCTGTAAAGATTTCAAACCAACAACAAAATGAAAAGAAAAAAACTCCCTCACCTCAGCCTCAAGAAACCACTTTGAATTTGAGCTTGCTTGAAAAACCCGATGGTGCTGCAAAGGAAGAGAAAGGTGTGTTGGAAATGGTTCGGTACAAGTTTGAACTGTACCACAAATTTCCAGTATTAATTCTTGTTTTTCTAAGTTGCATTGCCTTGCAGTCCTGAGTCATTGAGCTCTAATTGTGGGAAAGGAGGTAGACTACCTGACTGAACAAGCTGACTTTTAAAGAATCTGTATTTGTTTTAGCAGATGATGTTGAAAGCTATTTTTGCCATAATGTCGTGTCTAAAATTTTGAGATCTTTTTAATTGTAGGGCTAGTTACTGTTTCCATTGTCACTCTGTCATCTTTTTAACCTATTTTCATTTTAAACCTTTGAACTGTTACTTATTTTCTAAAAAAACAAATGTTAGTGAAAGTTCTTAGATTATTGGGTGATCAAAGATAGCAAACGAAATATTGTAATTAGTTTCCTGCTAGATCGTTTTATGGGAAAAACAGGAATTCCTATCATGTATCAGTACCAGTATTTCTGCAAAACACTTTAGACTGTTTTCTAGTAAAAATACGGGGGGGGCGGGGGGTAAAAACGTTCTTGGCTATGAAAGAAATATAAAACTGAGACTTAAAATATGTCTTCCTGCTCTCGTAGTGAAAAAGAAAGAACCTCTAGATATACGAAATTTTGATTATAGTGCTCGAAGCTGGACCGGTAAATCTCCAAAGCAGTTTTTGATTGACTGGTGCAGGAAGAATTTTCCCAAGAGCCCAAATCCTGCTTTTGAAAAGGTTCCAGTTGGAAAATATTGGAAATGTAGGTATGTATTTCCTATAAACTTTACATTTTCCTTTTGGTTCATATAAAAATAAAAATGCTGGCTACTTCTGTCCTGTCATGTCGATCCAGATTTATAGGAGTACAGTGTGTTTTATCCAAAATGTCTGGTTTTTTTTTTTTAAGTCCACCAGGGAGGTATTTCACTCTGGATAGCTCTACAAAAGTAATGATTAGACTGGATGGTATCACAAAAATAAGATTCTAGTGAATGATCCCATGAAGAAGGGATTTGTTTTTAATTCTGTACAGCTGAATGAAAGGTTGTCTAGTGAACATGTGAGATAACTTTGGACAATTAACTTCTGGTATTCAAAGTAATATGTTAAATCATAGGTTTTAAGCGTAGGAATACCAAAAAACCACTTTGGGGATTATTTAAAATAAAGTGAAAGTTAGAAATTTGTATGAAAACTACCATAAGTTTGTAACCAAAACAGGGCAGTATCAGTGATTTTTAAATTTATTTTAGAAAACAAGTCTATAATATAGTGGTATAAAATAGAATATTACCATGTACAAGTAAAGTAGACATAGCGTTACTCATTTGTAATGCTTCTTGAAGGAATCAAGTAAAAGAAATTGTTGTCTTGCTCAAGTTAAAAGCTACTAATGCACTGTCCCCCTAATAATATGAGAAATTTGACTGCTGGTCTGGCTGGTGTAACTGTTGAACAGATGTTTGCATTTCAGTAGATCATTTAACAGTCAATTCAATCTATGTTAAGTAGTTACAAGCACACAAACAAATATTTAGTCCTTCTTCAAAGCAACTAACCTTGCTGATGATCTGTATGTGTACAAATACTTCTGCTTTGAAGAAAATTAAGGCATTCGTTAAGAGAAAAAAATACCACAAATTCGCTGTTGGAACGTGCTGCTGAAAACTTTGCTATTCAATTAGACTTTATTGACTGTTTCTGTTTACAAAATATTATTGAGTTAAGTTTACTTAGCTTAGTTTCTCTATTTGAATGTCACTCCTATGTTTTTAACAAATACATTAACAGGTGTGTTATTTATAGAGGTAATTAAAATTGAGAGAAATGCCTGTATGAATTTGTCTTTAAGGGTCAGGATTACAAAATCATCAGACGATGTAATGACAATGTGTCCTACAATCGTGACAGAAGATAGTATGCAAGCACAACATCTAGCTGCTACTTTGGCACTCTATCATTTAACCAAAGGACAAGTAAGTTTTTCACCAATATTACTGTTTTTATCCTGAAACTTACCTCTACACTTATTTGTTACGATATCTGTGGTTAAATTCTAAAAGCAGTTTAATGAAGTGTTTCCCAGGACATTTTTTACTTGTCTGCTAATTTGCTTTTAGTTATAATCATGCCTATGTGTTTTAGCATACAAGGAGGAAACTTTTTGATAGTAAAACTATTCTTTTGGTGTTGTAAAGAATGCAAGCTAGTTGAAAATAAGGTGTATTGTTTACACTTATATTACTGCTTTCATAGTTTCTATATTGAAAAGTAGCTCCCTATTTAATGATTTGTCATATCTTTTGCTGCTCAAATTCATTTACACATAAAATGTTAGCGATACTGCTTAGTAGTACACAAAGTAATTTTTCTCTGCTTTTTCCACCTGAAGTCAGTTCATCAGTTACTGCCTCCTACCTACCGAGATGTCTGGCTAGAATGGAGGGACACTGAAATAAAAAAGGAAGAGGAAAACAAGATACAAACCAACAAACCTCGTGATAACTTTATTGCTAGATTATTAAACAAACTCAAACAACAACAGCAGCTACAATCTGAAAACCAACCAAGAGTATCTGAGGGCCCTGAAGATTCCTGGGAAAACTTAGTTTCTGATGAGGATTTCAGCAGTCTCTCCCTTGAGACCTCAGACGCAGATGATTTGGAACCTTCCAGGATTTTGTTCAAAAAGCTGCAAAGTTCCTCAAGATACCAGAGGCTTCTGAAAGAGAGACAGGTGTTACCTGTGTTCAAGCACAGACACACAATTGTAGAAACTCTTAAAAAACATCGAGTAGTTGTTGTGGCTGGGGAAACAGGCAGTGGGAAGAGTACCCAGGTGCCCCATTTCTTGTTAGAAGACTTACTGCTAGATGAAGGATCAAATAAATGTAATATTGTTTGCACACAACCCCGAAGAATCTCAGCAGTGAGTCTGGCAACCAGGGTTTGTGAAGAGCTAGGCTGCGAATCAGGACCAGGAGGAAAAGTAAGATGTGTCTGAATTCCTTTTTCTAGTCTTGATCAAATACAGGGGGCTGGGTTGTTGGTACAAAGTGAAAACATTATTTCTTACATAACCAAATAATTCCCTTTAAAAGGGCTTCTTGCTATGTCAGCTGTTTCTTTCCAAATTGTCACCTGTGTACCTCTGGGTATCCATTTTAAGTCTGTTGCATGTCTATTATTAGGGGTGGAGGAAACTTCCCTGAATAAGGCTCTGAGCAATCCAATCTGGCCTTGAGTGAGGCCCTGCTTTGAGAGAGGCACCCTACAACATAAGTGCTTTTCTTCAAGTAACAAAATAAAGGTCCTTTATGTTTTATGGTAGTATATTTGTGCAAAAATATTTTTGTTTGAGGACTGAAAAGAACACTGAGTTTACCAGCTCTTTGCTATTCTGGAGAAACTTAGTTGTAGATTTCAGTGTATTTTCCCTTTCTCAACAAAGGAAAGTGTGCATGTGGAAAAAACAGTAAATGACTGACACACCATACTAATTAATTAGCAATTTATTCAGTGTCTGAATTTAATTGTCGTGGTTTGGGCTTAAATTTCACTTAATTTTGAACATCTTTAGCTTCTATACTATTTTAAGTTATCCTATATTTCTTAATATCTTTTTTTAAAGAATTCCCTGTGTGGATATCAAATTCGTATGGAGTCAAGAACAGGAGAAGCCACAAGACTACTGTACTGTACAACAGGTGTCCTGCTTCGGAAACTTCAAGAAGATGGTCTTCTTTCAAGTATATCTCATGTTATTGTAGACGAGGTTATCAGCTCTTACTATTCTGCAGAAACTATAGTTATTCTGGGCCTTGACTTGTGCTAAAACCTTACTATAGATATGTTTTTCTAATTCTAGGTACACGAAAGAAGTGTCCAGTCTGATTTCTTGCTAGTTATTCTGAAGGAGATCTTGCATAAACGTTCAGACCTGCATTTGATTCTAATGAGTGCTACTGTAGACAGTGAGAAGTTCTCCAGCTATTTCTCACACTGTCCCATTTTAAGGATCTCTGGGAGGAGTTACCCTGTTGAGGTAGGTGAATGTTTCTTTGATTATGCAAGACACTTTGTATGCATGTATACAGTGTTTGCCTGGTTAGTGTCTATAGGTATTTTTGGTAAGAAAAAAAGTGATGTAGGTGTATTTCCTATCTTAAATGTGTGTTTCAAGGACTTGTAGTCTTTTCCCTTTTTGAAAATAAAAAATAGCTTCAGTGCTTTGAAGTACAGAGTTGTATTTTTTTTTGATGGACTAATTATTGATTAAAATCAGTCCATCAGTGACACTTTGATTTTTCTCTATTCAACCTAGGTAGAAAGGGAAAGCATTAAAGAATTTCCTTCACCCCCCATGCAAAACTATCTTTACTGTTATGTATGTTTCTTAGGCATGTTATATAGGCTATGGTAAAGGTAATGGTGGCAGTCATGTGGAGAGGCCCATTAACAAACTCATAGCAGCTCTAAGTTCAGGTTTTCAAAAAGCACAAAAATGTTTAAGTTGAAATTTGCAAGATCTCTTACAACATTAAAAGAGAAGGGCATGCCTTGTTCAGCATTGTGTGTAAGCTTTGAAAAACAAAAAAGGTGCTGGTTAATTTTTAACATGTATTTCTTCTGTGAATTTTCACTAAAGATTTTCCATGTTGAAGACGTAATTGAAGCAACTGGCTATGTTCTGGAGAAAGACTCGGAATATTGTCAGAAGTTCTTGGAGGAGGAGGAGGAAGTAACAATAAATGTTACTAGCAAAGGGGGAGGCACGACAAAGTATCAGGTAAAATAGAAATTTCTAGTTTTGGCTTGGAAATGTTGAGATTTTTTTAATTTTATCACTTTCATTCCTCTTAAATGTGATTGGATTGTATAATGTCAAATATAATTTCAGTTGGTAAAAGACAAACACAATGGCACTCCTACAGTGGAAACCAAATATTTATTAACGCTGCACCGGTGTGTTTGTTTCTCCATCTCCTTTATAGCTGCCTTGATTTTGCTATATTTGACACTGAGTTCTTTTGTACAGATTCCTAGCTCTAGACCTATAAATAGCAGCAAGAGAAAGCATTTAAGTGGGTTTTTTTTCTACCGAAGAATTCTCTTAAGTGGTGAACCTAAAAACAGAAGAGGCAATGCCCATATCCTTCTTAGCTAAAAAACTCCCAAGATCCTCTTACTTGTTATGCCAAATGAGATGATTTACATGAGATTATTATGTAGAGCTTTTTAGTTTAACAGGCTGAGGTTAATCCTGTAGGTACTCTGCAGTGACAGCTGTATGTGCTTTTGGATCAAAATTCATGAAGGGAAGAGTATGTGAAAGCCATCTGACTCTAGGCAGCTTAGGCTGTTCATCTAGGCTGCATGTATTTTGCGTAGATACCTGTCTTCTCTTACTTGCTCTCTCAACATCTCTGCAGGACTGTTTAGCTTGATGTGACCAAACACTGATGCATATATTGGAAAGTATGCTGTCGTGTGCTCTGCAGATTTTTTTTTTTTTCCTCCTAGATTTGTAGTTACCCCATACATCACAACAGCATCCTCTAGTTGAAGCCCAAATGCTCTCCTGAGCACTCCTCCATCTTTTGTTTTTCTTCTGTTGAGCCTTCAATACAGAAGGATATATGGTGCATATAGGATAAGTGCATTGATTAACAATGTGTTGTGGTTTGGCCCCAGCCGGGAACAAAGAACCACATGGCTGCTCATGCAACTCCCACAGCTGTGGGCACAATCAGAAGAAAAAAGGCAGAAATTCGTGGGTTGAGATAAAAGCAGTTTAACAGAACAGCAGAAGCAAGAGAAAACACTAACAATAACACCGGTAAAGGAATATACAAACACGATTACACTGCTGCAGCTGGCTCCAAGTGACTTCCTGGCCCCCCCCCCCCCCCCCAACACACACCCCGCAGACACCACCGCACAACAACATTTTTTTTTCACCCCCCCCCCCCCCCCCAAAAACCTGGGCATGGGTCACATGGCATGAAATACCTGTGTCCCCTGCTGGCTCCTTGGGAAAACTAACCCCATCCCTGCTGGAACCAGGACACAATGAAATAATTTACAGTAGTGCCACTTAACATGGAAGCCTTACGCTAAGTATGTATCTGTAAGAGGTTTATAAACAACTTAAATGTCTGTATGTTCTGCTAACTCTCCCTTCATCCTCCTTTCCTCCTGCTCCAAAACACTGCAGGTGTTTCCACCTGATGCAGTCTTAACTAATGGTTGCAATGAAAGTTGAAAAGGGTGAGGTGAGGGAGAGGAGGAAAGGGAGACTTGTTTCTTATACCCCAAAACAGGAGTTTTGAAAGAAGACTAGCCACTCTGTTATCCCATTTTGAATTGATACCAACTGAATGCCAGATACAGACCTGGGAACTGTATTCAGTTGTAAAAAAGGCTGTATAGTACTGCTTGCACAAACTTTGATTTTTACTTTTTTTTTTTTTAATTTGGGATGTTGTTTAAGAGTAGTAGATAACTATACACAGGTTATGTAGGTGACTGATTTAATCTAACTCACTGATTTTTGGTGGGAAGTTAAACAATTTAAATGTCTCTTATCTCAATCTCTGTTTTAAGAAACCTAAATTAAGCAAATGACAAATTGACCTTCTTCTCTGTTACCTAATTCTAAACCACTGAGAATGACTTTTTTTTTTTTTTCCTGCTCTTCTTTTTTAGGAGTATGTCCCAAACCAGTCTGGATCTGGTATCGATTTGGCTCCTTACTATGCAAAGTATAGCAGTCGTACACAGCAGGCTATCTTCTATATGAATCCTTACAAGATCAACCTTGAACTTATATTGGAGTTGCTTGCGTACTTAGGTACAGTCTATTTCTAAAGAAGTTTATATAGTGGGGCTGTCCTTTGGACTTATTTTCCAGTGCTTTCTACTGATAATGAAGCACTTGAATACATTCTTACATAGAATCACAGAATAGTTTGGGTTGGAAGGGACCTTTAAAGGTCATCTAGTCCAGCCCCCCTGCAATGAGCAGGGACATCTTCAACCAGATCAGGTTGTTCAGAGCCCCGTCCAACATGACCTTGAATGTTTCCAGAGATGGGGCATCTGCCACCTCTGTGGGCAACCTGTGCCAGTGTTTCACCACCCTTGGCATAAAAAATTTCTTCCTTATATCTAGTCTGAATCTGCCCTCTTTCAGTTTAAAACCATTACCACTTGTCCTGTTGCAACAGGCCCTGCTAAAAAGTCTGTCCCTATCTTTCTTATAAGGCCCCTTTAAGTACTTAGAGTGCTATGAGGTGTCTCTGGAGCCTCCTCTTCTCCAGGCTGAATAACCCAAACTTTCTCAGCCTGTCCTCATAGGAGAGGTGCTCCAGCCCTTTGGTCATTTTTGTGGCCCTCTGGACCTGCTTCAATAGGTCCATGTCTGCTGTACTGAGGACACCAGGGCTGGATGCAGTACTCCAGGTGGGGTCTCAAGAGAGTAGAAGAGAGGGGCAGAATCACTTCTCACCCTGCTGGCCACATTTCTTCTGATGCAGCCCAGGGTACAGTTGTCTTTCTGGGCTGTGACTACGCATTGTCAGCTCATGTCCAGCTTTTCATGCACCAGTATCCCCAAGTCCTTCTCAGCAGGGCTGCTCTCAATCCCTTCATCCCACAGCCTATATTGATACAGAGTTTTCCAGGATGCTTCATGTGGCCTGGCCTTGTTGAATCTCATGAGGTTCACATGAGCCCACTTCTCAAGCCTGTCCAGGTCCCTCTGGATAGTATCCCATCCCTCAGGTGTGTCAGCCACACCACTCAGCTTGCTGTCATCTGCAGACTTGCTCAGGGTGCACTCAATCCCGCTGTCTGTCATTGATGAAGATACTAAACAGTACTGGTCCCAATACAGACTCCTGAGGGACACCAGTTGTCAGTGATCTCCAGCTGGACATTGAGCCATTGACCACTACCCTCTGGATGTGACCATCCAACCAACTCCATATCCATCGAACAGTCCATCCATCAAATCCATACCGCTCCAATTTAGAGAGAAGGATGCTGTGGGGGACCATGTCAAAGGCCTTACAGAAGTCCAAACAGACGACATCTGTAGCTCTTCCCTTGTGCATGATGAAGTCACTCTACCATAGAAGGCCACAGGTTTGGTCAGGCAAGACTTGCCCTTTGTGAAGCCATGCTGGCTGTCTTGAATCACCTCCCTGTCCTCCCTGTGCCTTAGCATAGCTTCTAGGAGGATCTGTTCCATGATCTTCCCAGGCACAGAGGGGAGGCTGACAGGCCAGTAGTTCCCAGGCTCCTCCTTTTTAAAAATGGGTGCAAAGTTTTTTCCTTTTTCCAGTCACTGGGGACTTGCCCTGACTGTCATTATTTTTCAAATATCATGGAGAGTGGCTTTGGGAATACAACAAACAAAAGCACTGGCAATCTACACCAGCCAATGCCCTCTGGACTCTGGGGTGCATCTTGTCAGGTCCCGTAGGCTTATGTATGTTTGGGTTCCTAAGGTGGTCACAAACCTGATCTTGTCTTGCAGGGAGGGACTTTGCTCCCCCAGTCCCTCTCTTGCAGTCCCTCCACTGGGGAGATGTGGGAAGAGAGATTGCCAGTGAAGACTGAGGCAAAAAAAGTTGTTGGGTACCTCAGCCTTCTCCTGATCTATTTTTACCAGTTTGCCAGTCTTTCTCATCAGGGTGGTTATGCTTTCTTTGAGCTTCCTTTTCTGGCTGACATACCTGTAGAAGCCCTTATTATTCTTTGCATCCCTTGCCAAGTTCAGCTCCAGCTGCGCCTTGGCCTTCCTGACCCCCATCCCTGCACAACCAGACAGCATCCCTGTACTCTTCCCAGGATACCTGTCCCTGCTTCCACTGCCTGTGCATTTCCTTCTTGCCCTTTAGTTTGACCAGCAGGTCTCAACTTAGCAATGCTAGTTTCTTGCCCTCCTTTCCTGGCACCCGGGGATCGAGAGCTCTTGGGCTCTGCAGAAAGCATCCTTAAAGATCTGCCAGCTCTGTTCTGTTCCCTTGTTCCTGAGGGCAGTTTCCCAGGGGGTCCTATTGGCTAACTCCTTGAATATTTGGAATTTTGCTTTCCTAAAATTCAGGGTCCTGACTTTACTGTTCACCTGACCCGTACCCCTCAGGTCTGCAAACTCCACCTGTGCATCATCAGTACAGCCCAGGCTGCCTCCAGTCTTGATGTCACCAATTAGCTCACTTGCCCTGGTGAAACATCCCAAAAAGCATTTACTGCAGGGCCCAGCATTAGTTCCTGTTCTCAAATGAAAATGTTTGCAAATGCATGTTTAACTGTGTGCCTGTACTGTAACTTTCCAGATAGAAGTCCCCAGTTCAAGAACATTGAGGGTGCTGTGCTGATCTTTCTACCAGGCCTTGCCCATATCCAACAGCTGTATGATCTCATTTCAACTGACAGAAGATTTAACTTGCGTGACAGGTAATGCAGATATTTTTATAAATTAATAGTTTAACTTAATATGTTTGTTTGGGTTTTAAGGTCTGCCGTTCTTGAAAAGGGAAGCTGAGAGTTATGCCTCTGAGCTGTTTGTGCTGCAAACGTACTTTCATTATCTGAAAATAATACAAGCAAAACTAACAGGTGCTTAGGAATAATACAGTAATAATTATCTTATTTTATTTTTCAACAAACTTAAAAGCACTTGACTACGTCTTTTCTACTGCTTAGGTTATGGAACCTAACGTATCTGATATATACCTTTCTGTAGCTTACTGTTTACATGGAAGTCACTACTTCCTGAGAAGAGATCCAGAGACAGTAACCTACCAAGAGAAATGGCATAGGCTTGTAATGACAATATAGTTTTGAAATTTATTTTGTGAGTAACTAAAAGTTAGCAACACGATGGCATAAAAAGAACATTTGCAGTCAAATTCTAAAGATTCATAGATCGACTGAGATGTCAAATGTCAAGGTCTGGAAGAGAAGGAAAGTACAAATCTCTGTATCCGTCTCATCTCAAAAGGCCTTTGTTTACTCAGGCTGGAAGTTGCATGTGCTTATAGTTCTGTTCAGAGTTTCAATAATGGTCATTCTCTTGGAAGCACAATGTAAAGAACTCGGGTTTGTGGACACCTGCATCCCTTTTTTTGCTAGGCTATTGATGTAAAGTAACTTAGGTTTCTGCAGTAGCAGTATCTTTCCTGCACTGTTACCAAATAGAAGAACAACCCTATGAACTAATGGTGATATTCTTTCTTGACACTATAATAAAACATTGAAGCAGACTTTTATACCCAATCACACAAAATTTTACTCTTTCAAGTGTCGACTCTTGTTGCTTTCTCCAAACAGTTGTCATCATTCTGGTCCCACTTTTATTTTTTTTTTTTTTATTGTATCATAACTTGATAAGTGTATATTGATTAGTGTAATTTCTTGTTCTAGGCACAGGTTGATAGCTTTGCATTCTGTTCTTTCAACTCAAGATCAAGCAGCTGCATTTACAATACCTCCTCTTGGTATTAGAAAGGTATGATATATTTAGAAATGCAAAGCTCACTACAAAGGAGAAACTTTCTGTGGGTGCAACTCTGAATTGCTTTAATATCAAATCATACAGAATTGCACAGCAACCAGTCACTTCTTTGCAGTGAGAAAATCCCAGGAACAATTATTCTAATTTGGTGCTCTAACAGATAGAAGCCAGCATGCTGTGAAAACCTTGACAGTAATCAGACAAATTTTTAAATCTAACATTTTCCTAAGACCTTCTTTAATTGTTGCTTTCCTCTATTTTAACTATTGTTAACCAGTAACTGTAGCTTATATGTAGGAAAGTAATATTGTACTTGCTGCCAAACTATTTAATTAAAAATTGACCAATTTTGGCAGGTACTAGCTAGTAATTCTCATGGATCATGAAACAAAAAGTGAATGCAAAATTCTCACTTAACTTTTGATTCTTCAGTAATCGGGAAGACTAAACCATTTTCCAAGTCATCTAGCTTTTAATTCTTTGTCAGATTACTTAAAGAAATGTTTCTGGATAAAAAACTTTAAACAAATTTATTCCATAATATTGATTAAAAGGATGAAAACTGTTAGGTAGACATTCCATAATTCTTCTATTTATGTTATGTTACTTCTTTTCAGATTGTTTTGGCAACCAATATAGCGGAGACAGGTATTACAATACCAGATGTTGTCTTTGTAATTGATACTGGGAGAACAAAAGAAAATAGGTGAGTTTGATTTGCATCAATCATCCTGTAATTACTGTAAATACTTGGAGGTTAGTACTGCAAGAATTTTTGTACTTTCCTTATTAAACTGCAGTCCTGGACAAGAAATGTGCTGAGCTCATTGCACAGCTTGCAGTTTAAGTACAAGTTTGGGATGAATCTTTGGGTTTTTAAATGGTGTGAAGAACAGCAAGGGGAGTTCATAGATGTGGAGAATTGTGATTAAGTACTAGTTTAAAAATAAAGTGGATCCTTTTTATGCTATCTCAGTTTTTAGAAGTTATTTTTGGCCATTTTAAATGTGAAAGGTCCTAAAGAATGTATTAGAACAACTGTGAATTGCTGGGGAGATGAAATAGTACAATAGCTCTTTCATTTTCTAATTTTTACATTTTCACTAGTGAGTTATATCCAAGGTTCTATGATGTACAGTTTCCCCCAGGTATGCTTAGTTTTCAAAACTAAATACAATCTTTTCAAATAAATACTATTTAGGTATATTATTAATATGCTGGTATTTAAGTATACATCAAAATTTTAATTCTGAAATCTGAATGGGCACTTGCTTTACAATTTTTAAGGTATCACGAAAGTAGTCAAATGAGTTCCCTGGAGGAGACCTTTGTTAGTAAAGCTAGTGCTCTGCAGCGACAAGGAAGAGCTGGGCGTGTTAGAGATGGATTCTGCTTCCGAATGTACACAAGAGACAGGTACTGTAAACTCATTTAGCAAGATTTTGTTAATCACATAAATATCTTTGGGTTTTTTCTGTGCAAAAACAAGAAGTCATGTTGAAATTCACTTCAGTTACTGCAAACTGGAAAGATTAAACTGAAAAAAAACCAACAAAACAAAACCAAAAAACCCCAGAGAATTTGAATATCATATGAATAAAGTTATAGTTTTTTGTTCACAATTTTGAAGTTAATTTTATTCTTAGTGTCTCTATGATGTAGTGTTTTGGAAAAAAAAAAAACCCCACACTCTTACAATTAAAGGAAAAGTGCAGCACCAAGGAACTGTAGAAGATCATTTTTTAACATCATCTACTGCCCTGCATCGAATATACACAAACCCTACCTCCTAAACTTTAAATTTTTTCTCAGACAAATCGGTAGGTTTCTGAAGTGATATCTCTATGGAAAAGAGATGGGGAAAATATCAAATTACAAAGCACTGCAGAATTAGTTTGTTACTGCAGTGGAATAACCTTTTTCCTGTTTGTCTGAAAGTCCAAAGCAACTTTCAGCTGAGAAACAGTTAAAGTATTTTGAAATAACCAATGAAGCGTGCATTTTAGCCACATGCAAGACTCTCAGTTTGAGAGCTATGCATTTTAAGAATCTGTTTTGAAGATCGGGGTCTTACTGCTTTTCGTTCTCTTTCACTGAAACTTTTGCTTTCCAAGCTACCACACAGGCCTTAATTCAAAGGGTGAACAGTTTACCCCTGCATTAAAACACTTGCAGCTCCCTGTCTTGCCCCTCAAAAGAACATCTGCAAAGAGTGAGCGTGTGAAACATGAGTTTATAAGTTGAATTCAAAGATTAAATCAAATATCTGTGATTCTATGTTTTTATGATGATGCAGGTTTGAAAGTTTCATGGAATATTCTGTTCCAGAAATACTGCGTGTGCCTTTGGAGGAATTATGCCTTCATATTATGGTATGGTTTTGGTTTTGGAATTACTGACCGTTGTTAGCTAAAAAATATTACATGTGCCTCTGCAGTAATTATTCATAATATCATGTGGTTTTGGTTTCGGAATTACTGACCTTGTTAGCTAAAAATGTTTGCTAGGACAGCCCTAATCCAGTGTAGTTAGTGGGGCTTCTGCCACCAGGGCGGGGGGAACCCAGTACCTGTGTGTTGGAAAATCCATAGCGTGCTGCTGAGTGAGAATAGCATACTATACTATTCCAGTTTACCTCAGAGTGACAATTCAAACTTAGTTAAATATAACCCTTCAAGCTGATTCTGCTTAAGGACGCAATTCCATTCACTCTATTCCCATCCTGTGTGAGTAGGATGTACATGGGAAAACAAGCAACCTGGCAAATTAGTGCCAGGCTGAATTGCTTGTCATCAGGTCTGTGACTCTCCTGCTCATCTATGACCATTGATAATACACTTCTGTGATCGGTGGTCATGCCATACGAAGTTCTTCCATACGAAGTTCTTCCAAACAATGAAGTTTCATTAACCTAATGTGGGGCACATCTGCATTCTGGGAACCAAGAGGCTGGTTTAAAGGGGAAGGAATGTGGGCTTTTGATTGCAAGAAAGGCTTTCCAGTTTCCTTTGTAGCTGCTATAAAAGTTCATTATAATTAATTTTTATATTGAAATATATGCTCATTTACTCCACAGAAATGCAATCTTGGCTCTCCTGAAGACTTCCTTTCCAGAGCATTAGACCCTCCACAGCAGCAAGTAATTGGTAATGCAATGAACCTGCTGAGGAAGATTGGGGCTTGTCTGTTAAACGAGCCCAAACTGACTCCATGTCAATGTAGAAATTGGCAAAATGCTTATATTTGGTGCTATATTTGGCTGCTTGGATCCTGTGGTAAGTTAAAAAAACCAACAACAAAACAACAACACAAAAAACTACACACCAACAGAAAAAAAACAAAAAACAAAAACAAAACAAAGAAAACTGCAAACAAAACCCCTTATATCTAAATTTTTTAAAAAGTATAGAAATGGTTAACTCCTTACAATTAATCTGATATCTTGCAACATGGTATTTTGAAAGGATGATGCAAGAAGTTAAAATATTTATTTTAAGGTAAGTGCACCTGGAGATCATGAGGGGAACAATCTAAGTGTTCTTTACAGTTGGACTCAATTATCTTAAAGGTCTTTTCCAACCTAAATGATTCTAAACTTCTAGGTACTATTCACAAGGGGATAGTCAGACTTGGTCTCCAGTTCTGCCTGTTATGATCCCAGGGAGTGTGACACTTACAGAAAAAGCCTTCTTACATTTGGGTTAGACCAATCTGAATTACCCCACAGTTTGTGGGCCAAGAACATGCTGATGTAAAGTCATTGGAAATTAATTGACTTACTGTATGAAGACTGTTGGATAGTTTACACTTTCTCCTAATCCATTTAAGTTACCGCAAATAAGGAGGCAGCATGGGTATGTTAGTTGCTGAAAACTGAAAGTTAAAATTCTTTGTTCTCTGTGTCTCCTGCTAATGTGGGATAATCTAAAGCAGTTGTTTAATGTGACCTTTATAATATCAGATATTGCTCTGTCCTTTGACAAACCGTTTCATGTGAGTTTTGAGATTTAATATTTTTTTCAGTGTATATAAAGCAATATGTAAGCAATGCTTAATATAAGTAAGTTCTGAATTCTGTGTGGGAAATACTTATGGTGGTAAGTTTTCCTTGAGACTTAGTAGAACATAAAATAAAGTATCATTAAATATTACAGTAAAAAAGAGTAAAGCTATTTGGATGATAAATGTGTAAGCTTATAACAAAATACTCTTAAGTGATGTGTACTTCACTAATTGCAGGCAACTCTGGCTGCTGTTATGACAGAAAAATCCCCATTTACTACACCAATTGGTAGAAAAGATGAAGCAGATCTTGCAAAATCATCTCTAGCAATGGCAGTTTCAGACCATATAACAATCTACAACGCTTATCTGGGGTAAATAATGGTTCTTCTGTGCTTGTAGCTAGATGCAGATAACAAGTAATGTAGTTCTGTAAAGAATTCGTGGTAAGTATCTTCTCTTGAATTGCTTGCACTTGAAGTTTTTCTCTTCCGAATAACAATAGATTACCAGATACTGTAATGCAAAAAGTTACCTTGCTTAATGCCTTATCTGTTAAGTCCTTTTAACTATGCTTGCACACATACAGAGATGTACTATGCCTGTGTATCCTAGTATTTAAAGTATTCTGTTTGCTGTCTGTCGTATGCTGACACAAATATTTTGTATTTGAGAAAGTACAAATGTATGTATTATAAAATGATATACATTTTTTCTTCTTAGGATATTATCAGTAGGTCTTGAAAACCACACCTAAATTTTATTTCAACTGTCAAGACAGAAGCGTGTAATTTTTTGAGAGAAAATTACCTTGTGTATTGTTAGAATCTTTCAAATTTATTACAGGCATGTTCCCAAGAATGCTTAGACCAGCAGCATTCATCTTCATTAATGCAACTGATTTCTAATTTTGAGTGGAGAATGCTGACCAAAACACAGTATTGCCTTTTAACTTACTACCACTTTCATTTTGTTAGACTCTTGATGTGATTCCTTTTGCTGTAGTAAGACAGGATTTTTTCCTTAGGTGGAAAAGGGCTCGACAAGAAGGGGGGTACCGTGCTGAAATGACTTATTGCAGAAGAAATTTCCTTAATAGGACTTCATTGTTAACTCTGGAGGTAAACCAACTAATTATGCTCTGCGCTCAAAAGTTATTTGTTAAAATTTCCCTCTGAAAATGTCATGCCCTTTTAAAGAGTTGTTATACGATGGTTACTATTTAGACAAGAAAAAAACAAGCAGAATGCTGGGGACTGGTGAAATGCACACCCTCACTCAAGGTAGCTGTATCTTCATTTTAGTTTTGATATGCACCCTTTGTTGGTATACATCTTTGCGGTTGCTGCCCTTGGAGAAGCTAGTCCTTCCTTCCACCAGAGAATCAAAACTTACAAACTAAAGTACTTGGGTTGTGTTAATTTTTAATATTGAAGAACAGGTTGGTTAGCAGGTAGTTTGAAAGATGAGCCACAAACTTTTGTAAATGGCCTTTTAATTTTGGTGAGAAAATGTTGTAATTGGGCTTTCCTAATTAAGTTTGGGTGACTGAGCTCTCCTAAGCATCTTCTTATTTTACCTACAGGTGAGAGATTTAGTATTTGCAGTTTATATAGTACCATGTATCTAACCCTCTATTCCAAGTAATGTTTTTCTTGGAGAAACAGCCAGTATTCCAAAGTGATTGCAGAAAATACAAGTGTGTTTTTTGTAAGAGATTTTTTCCCCTGGAGAATGTGAATATTTGGTGTGGAGTGTCATTGCCTGCTGATGGTGTGGAGTATGTACTCTTTTAAATTCACAGTTTTATTGATATCTTACTAATTTCAGGATGTGAAGCAAGAACTCATAAGGGTGGTCAGAGCAGCAGGATTCACAGCACATACAACACAATGTGGATGGGATGGAAATGGAGCCACACGATCCCTTTCTCTCCACGAAATAGCTCTTCTGAAAGCTGTGTTGACTGCTGGGCTGTATGACAATGTAGGAAAAATAATATATACAAAGTCTGTGGATATCACAGAGAAGCTGGCTTGCATGGTTGAAACTGCTCAAGGTAAAGCACAAGTGCATCCGTCCTCTGTAAATCGAGACTTACAGACATACGGATGGCTCCTCTACCAGGAGAAGGTAAGTGAAAATAGTGAATATAGCTGATAGTTTCTGTAAAGGTGGAGTTACACCTCTGACATTAAATAGCATACAGCAGTGTAAAGTATATCTTAATGTCTTGTTCATCTTAAGTCTTTAGTATCTAATGATCCTAAAATCCATAAAAATGAGTCAACTGAGTGCTGAAGAAAATGTTAAGGCTGAACATCATGAACAAGTCTGTTCATGGTGAAACTCCTACCTTTGTGTGTCATTTAAATTAGTGGTATTGTTGACTTTATTAAAACAGTGCTGTTGGTTTTAATATGATTGCTTTAAGCCGTAATACATAGTAGTAACAATTTAAAGTGTGCTTTTTCTTTTTTGCTGTTCAAAGCAGGCTCTGAGGTTTTCAAACTTGGTACAGGCCTCACCTATCTCCAGTAGTAACTTAAAATGAAATAACTGGTTCTATAATTGACTGCTGAACTTCCGAAGGGAATTGTGCTTTTTTTTTTCCTGTCACTTTCTTCCCCCTCACAACTGAAGATTTTGTCAGCTATTTGCTAAATTCAAGTGTTTATATTTAGTTGCACTTCTGGTACAACAAAACCTTGACAACAGTTGCTTAATTGCCAACTTTATGATAGAGAAGCAGGAAATTAATTGGACTTCTTAATGTGTATGAAGTGATAGGATATTTTGGAGAGCTGAAAATATTTCCTGCCCCCAAGAACCTTGTAGAGTAAAGGCAAGACCGCAGCTAAGGTGGGGAGGTTACTCTGTGAACAGTGGAACAAACACAGCCTGCGCTTCTGTGTGAAGACGCACTTTTTGTTTCATTTCTTCCCCCTACAACGCCTTCCCATCCCATTCCACCTTTATCTGTGAGAGGCTCCGAAGCCAAAAATAACATATGCTGAGCCCCAAAGCTTCCTGTGTGTATGTGTCTACACATGTGCCCACACTTATGCATGTTATGCATGTGCGTTTGTGAATAGAATGGCAAGCGAGCTGCTACTAAGAAGAATGCATACCGGAAGAGTTTTACCTGCCTCTTGCTTCAGTGGATTTATTAATTTTGTTGTCTCTTCTCTGAACAACAGTTGACTAACACTTGCTTTCTGTTTGAATTTTTAACAAGAAAGTTGTGGCTTTAGCTAATTTCTTAGTAGTGTATAAGCCTGTTATTTACCTAGAGGTGATATATTTTATGTGATCTGGGGCAGACAAATTGCCATTGTTTGTTCTGTGTACAATGACTTGTGTTGGTTGGATCTTAAAAGGAAAAAAAGTGTATTTTTTTGCTTTTAAAAATCACAATCAAATTTGGTGTTATAAATTTTTATGTGGGTTGGGGGGTTCTGTTTGTGTTTTTAATTCTTGTGTTTCTTTATATGCAGGTGAGGTACGCTAAGGTGTATTTGAGAGAGACTACTTTAATATCGCCCTTTCCCATTTTGCTTTTTGGTGGGGATATAGAAGTCCAGCATCGGGAGCGTCTACTGACAGTTGATGGCTGGATCCATTTTCAGGTGTGTTGGCGCGGTAACTACCTCTTGTGTTTCCATGGGATTTTGTATTACGCAGTTGATGAACAAGCTTAATTCAGAACGCTATATACATGGGACAAAGACAAGAGGAAAGAATGAGGAAAGAATTAAAGGAAATTATGGGAAACTTGTATACATTTAAGGAGATATTAGCAAATCGCACTCAAAAGAGAAGAGTAGGCTTGTGATATGTGACTTGTAACAAATCAGTTCCTTCTCTCTTCACGAAAAAAGTCGGTGTTATTTCAGAAAAGGTATTTAAAATAGACAAAGACGAAACCATGTTTTATAGAGCTGGTACTGAAAGCAGATGAGCGTGCTATTCTATATTACCCTTTCTTACAATCTTATAACCATGGAAGTATGTATTTAACTCTAAAGTTACATTTATTTTGCTTTATAGCCCAAACAGAATTATTTCAGGCAAGAAAAAAATCCAAATGGAAAATGCCTGTTTGCCTGGGTTTGGGGTGTTAAGGTGTTTTGGGGTTTTTTATTTCCAGGTGAAGAAGTTTTATTTGGGAATGGGAAAAGTGAGTGCATTTTCTTAGCGTATTTTTGCAGACAGAATTGAAACTGATGACACGCCAAAATCCTATGTAAATTCTGTTAAATGGCAAACGTTGGCTTTTGCTAGCCTGCCAGCTACTTCATTACAATTTTCTGTGCTCCAGTGGGCCCTGTGTTACACTAAAGGAAGACCGTAAGCTACAAAACACTTCAGTTTTTTGCACGGTGCTGATGCAAACAAGCAACCATCTAATTGAATTCACTGGTTATTATTAATATAGAATTTTAAAAAGCAGCTCCCTTTTGAGTTTGTTGGAGAACTTATTATGGTCCCTGGGTGACTACAGGTTGTGCAGTTGCTGGGCCGATTACGTCTTGTAGTCTATTTCGAAATTTCTGGTTTTCTACTGAAATGCTAAGCAAAATATGTTGCATTTTGTTCTTTTTCCATAATAGCTACTTATTGTACCACAGGCAGTATGTATATAAATGAAATAAAGACTGGAATATGGAAGGAGGGATAAAATGAAAGATTCCTGGAGAGGGCGTCAGCTTTAGATATCCAAACTTTTAGTGAGATTTGTGATTGCTTTCTCAGGAGGCCAGGCAGACCTCCTGAGAGAGTAATGTGTAGATGTTTCAGGTATGAATTAATTTGTACTTTTATGCCTTGGAAAAAAGCAATTAGACTAAGTAGGATATTGGTAAATTAATAATTTCCCCATATGCTGGTTGTTCATGGTATGTGTGGGAACATATTCTGAGTTACCCTTCCCAGCTGCTGTTTTTTAGGCTGTAATGCTACAAAAAACAGGTGCTTAAAGATAAGAGGGCATAACGTAAGCCCAGTCATTTCATGAGTATGCTACCCATATGCTTAGAATTATGTATATGCATTATGCTTGCTGGAATCTTGCTATAAACTTCTATTTATTTGTAAGGTAATCTTTCAATCTATGTTTTGGTATATAATGTCTGAGTAATGCAAATACTGGTCTTCTCTGTTCTTTATAGGCTCCTGTAAAGATAGCAGTAATTTTCAAACAGCTGAGAGTTCTCATTGAGTCTGTTTTAAAGAAGAAACTTGAGAATCCTAAAATGTCACTTGAAGGTAATTTTATTACTGCATTGCTGACATTATATATTTGTTAAATGGACCTTGTGGCAAATCTGAGGAAGCGTTAGTACACTGCTTCCTTACCCAGTAGGGTTAGTGTGACCTGAATATCATTCCGTTATCTTAAGACACACACAAAAAGTCATTACTAATCTTGCATATATTATGTGGTTCACCCCAAATGTATGGAGATCTGCACAACTGCTGTTTCAAAGATATCCCCGGTAACAACATCCAAGGTAGTGGTAGTGGTGAGGTATATGTCTCAAAACAAGTAAAATTGTGTGTGATGAACCTCAGATATGGATAAATTTTACATGTTATGCAAGTTGTCTTGCAGTTTAGGTTAGTGATGGGGAACTGCATGTCGACCCCCAAATTAAGAGAGAAATGCACAATTTAAACTTGCAACACTGGATGCTCAGAAGAATATTGTAGGTGGAGAAGAAGAAAGGAAGTTCCGGTATGCTAATGTCCCTGTAGTTAACCCATCATTTTCTCAGTTTCTTTTGTGAAATACTGAAACGGCCACAACCGGCTCAATTGAGTAATTTTATAAATTTTCTAATGATGTACTGTGGACATACTGTTTGCCCTTTTTGCTTTGCAAATGGGAATCACTTGTCTTGCTTTTGAGTCTGGCGTAGCCTAAAACATTAAGACTTTAAGTTGCTGAAAGCTAGACTTGTCTTCTGATTTTCTTGGGTTTGGGGAATCAATTTTTAAGCTCGCTCTTTTCCACTCACTGCGATTGTTTTTTTTTCCCTAGATGACAAGGTCTTACACATCATCAAAGAACTGATAAAAACAGAGAATGGTAACTGAAAGCAGAAATCTGTAACAAACCAGAGCTTCAGTAATGGCAGGGGAAATACACACTCCAACATAACTGAAAGTATTTAAATGCTTAGTGTGGTTGAGACCAGCCATGATGTGAAAAGACTGCATGATTTTGCATAGAATTTACCTTTTTCTGCATTGTTTTTGAAGATGAACATTTAATATGTTTAGCTCTTAGAGTACATTTGGTGCCATTTGTCTGACTGTTCCATCTGATGGATGGAGACAGTTTCTTTTCAACATAAAAATGTCTGTGGCCAATTATTTTCTTTTTGTTTAATGTACTGTCCTGGTTCCGGCAGGGGATAGGATTAATTTCCCCAAGGATCTGGCATGGAACACAGGTATTCCATACTATGTGATGCCATGCCCAGTCTATAGGGGAGAGCCGGCCAGGGGAGGGGACAGGAAATCTCGTGGTTCTTTGTTGCCAGCTGAGGCCAAAACCACAGTCACCTGTGGCACCTAACGTGGGGCTCAAAGGGTTGAGATAACGACAGATCTGACCAGAGCTTGTTAAAATGAATTTGTTATATGCATTTCTCATATTAGTTAGATAGTTGCCTTTGTTTGTTTGCACGTCTGTGTTATCTGTGCTCCCTATGATGCTGCTCATTACCTCTGGGAGAGGGATCAGGATTACCATTCTGCTGTCCTGTGTAATATCAACTTATGATACGATAACATCACTGTTCAGGCAGTTATGTTGGGGTGTTTATGCTGTCCTGCCCATACCTTGGGCAGGGTTTCTCAGAATTTATTAATAATCACACTCAATTTATGGGGCAAACAAGGCAGGGATATTTTCCCCAGCTGTTTTGCCTCCCTTTTATCCTTCGGGCCACATATGACAGCTTTTGAGAATTTTGAATATTCCTGGGATGGTCCTGTTGCTATGTGTCCTGAATGTGTTTCAGGTGGTTTTTAGGGTTAAACAACTATAAGACTGCCACCCAGAGATCTACCCTGAGGGTGGATAGTCAGGGGTGGCATGGCGTGTGGGAGAATATGGGCAGGTATCTAGAGAACTCGCCTCCAATGGTTTGGGACCTCACCCCCAAACAGCTACAGGACCCCTATAAAGTGACAGAACATGTGAAAGGAAAATGCAGTGGCTATTCCAGAGAGGCACAGCTTACCGCACTGTGCTGGGCCCTGGCCAGTATTTACCAAACACTGCTCA